AACATCTTGCATAAATGTTAAAAGCTTAGTAGCGCGCGCGAAGCGCGCGCCTGTTATGTTCTAGTATAATAAAAAGTAGTTATTTTAATATATACCTTTCACTTTTTGAGATTGTATCATTTTTTGGTAAGACATATTTTCATAATAGATTACTTCCTGAACATAATCATAAATATGAACTATTTATTGAGGACAGTACAAGTTATTGCATGTTACATTCGCACAATAAAGTAAATAACTCAGCAGTATGGCCGGATTGCTGACATATCTATTTTTCTCTAATTTTATATTTTAAATATTTATTTGTTTTCAATTGGTTCCTCAGGTGGGCTAAAGTTAAAGAAAATAAAGCATGATATTTTTATCTGAAAATAAAATGCAGGATTTTATATATATATATATGTGTGTGTGTGTGTGTGTGTGTACACATAAATGATATGAGCTAATTTGTAATATACAACATATAAAATTTAATATATACATATAAAATATAACACAAAAATATAAAATATCATTATATTATCGGGGAAAAAGTTTCTACGTATTTAAAAAAAATTTTTTGCAAAAGTTTTTCATTTGTTGTGAAATTTTCGTTACAATTATATCATTCGCTAGAGCAAAGTTTTAGCTTTAAGAATTTATTTTTTAAATGATGCGGTATGATAATTTTTATCAGAGTTATGAGCAATCAAAGTCAGAATGTTTCTTTACTTAACTCGCGAATAACTCAGGAAAAAATCATAGGAACATTTTTAAACAATAATTTTGTAGGGAAAGCTTCAAGCTTTCATGATAGGTAGTCAAAAATTTTCGTAAATTTTGTTTTGGCACGTGAGACACCAAGGGAAAAAGACAATTTTTTAAGAAAATTTTTCATCTTTCTCAGCTCGTAGTTTTTTTAATATAAAAATTACCAAACTCACAGAAATTCAAAAAATATAGTAACTTTTCGAAAGTAAAGATTTCAAACTTTAAAACCCTTTTTTAAAATTTAAATTTCGTTCATTTTTTACGAAGATATTGTATATACAATTTTGAATTAAAAAATATGAAGAAACTTTTTCCCTGACCTAATATTATCATAGACGTAAATAAAAAATTTATTTATTTATTTAGATCCTTTGAGGCTAGAAAATTTGTTTGTATATTAAATTTATCATTAATTTGTTCGAATCTTCCAACAAATCTAATTAGTACTTAAATTTTCTTCTTTTTATTTTTCTACGACGCAACAGGCCTAAAGAGGTCCTTGGCCAACAACTTTAAATTTCTAAATCAACAAAAATTACGTAAAGGCAATGATTTTAAAATGTTCAGGTGATCATCAACTACAGCGTGGTGATGTATGAGCTAGGTTTAACGGCATTCACAAGACGCAGTTTCACCAGGATTTGGAATGCACTGCAAGATTTCGACGAGAATATGAGACGTTTGGGTTATGCTCGCAAAGAGACGAGGACTGCGATTGTCGCATGGTTTCTTGTAATTATGACCACGATCATCTGGATGGCTATTAATCGTATCGGAATGTACGCCTTTTTAGAGACATGGACCAGCAATATGAAATACATGATTCCCTACATCGGTACGTCGATAGCTATCTACAAGTTCGTGGCGATAACTATTTTTCTAGGTCAGCGGTTTGATCACCTTAATTCGGTTGCAATACAAAATCTACCATCGACGTCGATAAGAGATATTGGAACAATCATTAGCAAGAAGGTTTAATTTAATTTTTTTAAGAAATAGCATAATTATGATACGATATAATATAAAAGTAATAAAATATAGTGCAGAATTTTAGATGTGTATATACATACATATATAAAATTTATTTTATTTAAATTAAAAACTAGATGCTTAAATAATAGATTTTTATATCAGTGTTAAGTTAATAGTAAACAAATTATGACAGTTTTATTTGTTTGTAAAAGACAATCCTGAGTCTACATAACGATTTGATGGTCGCCGCAGAGGATTTGGAGTCGCTGTATTCATTGTCGTTGCTCTTCTGGCTTTGCAATTTGTGCCTACACACCGTCAGCAACGTATATTTTATAATCGAATGGATGATTGTGAAGCAGTGGGATGTGCAATCATGGCCGCTAGTCCTCTGCATGTGCACTTGGTTACTGGCATTTCTCTTCCAGCTGTTACTACTTCATATCGCTTGTCACTTCGCTTCATCCCAAGTAAAACTTTTCTGCAGAGATGCAAAGTAGAATATATATCCCTTTATACTTAGATAATAAAGAATATCAAGATGACAATGCAAGAATGTGATAAGAATCACACGTGCAAACTTTGGACAATTCTGCATGAAATAATGGCCGAAGTGTACCATATGCAGATATTAAATATAAATAGATATATTTTTTAAATCGAAAAAGTAATGTTTAAATGGAAATTAAGTATGGTATTTTTAATAGAGAATTTGAGAACGTGATTTGTTTCAGGCTAATTGCCTAGGTCCGGTTCTGATCGAATGGCAAATAAGACTGATGAAAAAAGAAAATGAAGTAAGTAGATAAATTGTTTGACATATTTCATTCTTTTATTTATACATTTCCTTCAATAGAAATCAAATTCAATCTTTTGTTCAACAAATTAAATTTTTCTCTGTTCCAATTACGATTCCATCTATTTTCATAAAATTTCTTTTGATACTTTGTTTTTATTGTATTTATTGTATATACAGCAATCATTTTTAATATGACTGTAATCTGCATAAAAACTTTTCTTTGAATGCAGGATTACGTCGAATATTCGTTGGAATTTCTAAACCGAAAGCTCAAGTTTTCCGCTGGCGGATGTTTTTACGTGAACTTACCGTTATTACGTTCGGTACGTAAGAAATCAAAGCGATGCAAAACATTTTAATTAAAATGTAAAAAAAATATTTTTCAGGCTATAACGCATATACTATAGCCTATATTTATACTAGATTAATATATTATATATATTATTATAGGTTTGAAATTGACATTAAATTTGGCCAATCAAAGCAAAATTCATTAAATCAGATATTTTTTTCTTCTAATTAATTAAATTTAATCTCAGTCTCAATCACTCGTCTGATACGAACATAAGAGATATTTAAACAATATTTGTAGTTATAAATATCTCTTATTATGGATTATACATAAGAGTTTTGATTAGACGGATTATATCACGAATATTCCACTTCCACAAGAACAATCGCAAGTACATATATAGCGATTAATCTCATGATCCAAATTTCAACTTTAACCAAAAGTTTAATACCTACGTTACGTACAAACACGTAGTACATTGAAAGATTAAAAGAATTAATAACGAAGAACGTTTCACGGTGTTAAGACCTTCGTTTTTTCTCATATAGATATTACGAGTAAACGTAAATCATCGCGTCAAGATTTCAAAATTGTTGAATTATCCAGGTGATTTCGTTGAAAATTAAACACGTTTCTCACTACGAGATTATCACGGCAACTTACGATAATACGACTTAAAGGAGAACGTGCGTTCATGTATTTTCCACATCGTGTTGCAGTTCAATTGAGATAATAATTAAAAACGTTTATCACACAGATACAGTACCTATTTCCATGTGAAAGTATAATAACATAACAGTCATATCAAAACGCGAAATGAAAATAAACGTTTGAATTCATATCGAAATATAAATAAAACATAGACGTAATGTGGTTTTAAATTGAAACGTCACGTAAATACATCTAAAATAATAACTACATCTCGTAGCGTATATGTTTTCATATTAATGTTTTCATATTAATTGCTGTGTACGGTATTTGCGGAAAAGATTACGTGGAATATTTATCAACATGAATTTTAATTAAATACCAATAGTATTTTTACAATCAATATAAACTAAAAATAAATGCCACAAAAGATCAATGTATTAACATAAACGTTTTCATTTTAAACTTTTCTGTAATATGTGACAAAGGTAAAGCTTAATTGGTCTTAATTGAGGTCTTAACTTAGTTGGATACTAATCCAAAGGAATTCGGAACGCTGTAAACACCAATGTAAATGTGCTCGTAAATCGCGTAGTCGGAAACACGCCCTTCAATTTCATGATTCCTGTAAACTGAATAGAGCTCGTGTGTACTCAAGTCGGTACGTTGCCATTTGAAATTGGTACTTGTGTGGAACTTTACTAGTAGTGCAATTGTATGAATACGTAACTTCGAGAGCACACGACTCCAACCTACGATAGTTTCTGCTTAACGCGAAACTTCGATTTTCTTGCAGGAAATTATCTCTGAATCGACGATACTCTCTAGATTTAGATCGCAATTATGCAGCGTATTCATGGAGGTTCTGTATACGTATTTCAGAAATGTCGATAATTAACGATAATTAACAGCTTATGTTTTAGATATTGTGTTATGTAGATTTGTATTTTAGATATTATTATTTTTGCATTTTAAATTAAGTATAAGTATAAAAAGAAAGGATTACAGCTTCAAGTATTTGCAATTGTACAACTCTATATTAATTTCTAAATAGCGTTATAATAGAGTTATAGTTTGTACGATAGTATAGTATTATAATTTATATACGATTCTGTTTTATTTATTCACATACATCAAATTCCTATTCCGGACCTTACTCGGATATTGGAAAATCATTATGTGATCGATATTGCTTTCAGATCGCTTCACTGATGACCACATATCTGGTTATACTACTGCAACTTAAATGAGAGTGCGATAAAAGTGAAGGAAATCGCAAGATCTTCGTATCTCAACTACAAATTACTAATGTATGTTCTCTCTCTATTAAAATTAAATCGATGTATGTGAAAGATGTTTATCCTTTGAATCAATCTTTCAGATAAAATAAGCTGTTGGTTATTCTATCAAACGAAAGTTTTAACATAAACATATAAACAAAATTGAAGGTTTCTTTCCATTTAGTCCAGCTCGTAGGTTTCTATATGTAAGAATAACCAAACTTAATTTAAAAGACATAGTGACTTTCCAAAAATAAAGATTTTAGTTTTAAAATTTTTTATTTAATTAAAAGTTCGTTCATTTTTAATGAACGTAGCTGCTTGAATTTTAAAGGTCATAACAAATACATATTTATCCCAACCTAATTGATAACATCAACCATTTGTTTAATTTTACAATAAAATAGATTTTATAAATGCGAAAATATACCACATTTTTTCCGCGCAAAATTAAAAATTGGAAATTTCTTTGCGCTACAACAATACTGGTTAACTTCCGCTCAATAAAAAATTAAAAAATTACGTTCGATTAATTTTTATCAAATTTATTGGAAATACATAGAGGGAAATAAAGGCCATCAAGAGTCAATTCGTAAAAACGTTTGAAATAATCATATCATGATGAAATATATTAAATACAAAAATAAAATAGAATATAAAAGGAATTTAATCATACTTGTAACAATAACTTAATATCCTTTCTCTCTCTCTCTCTCTCTCGAATACATAACTAGTTTCGGCTTACAAATCTATTGGTTCTTTATAAATCTTCAGGTGCTCGCTCCTTCCGTTTGACTACATCCGCTTGAAACTACTTTCGCTTTACTCAGTGGAGAACGAAGGTGTGATGGTGGGGTTATGCGCAACAGCATTTGCATGCGAATTGTTCCCGTCACTGATTACAGTAACTCCTTTTAGATTTAACGTTCAAAGGAAGCCACGTTTCCCGAAACACGTGCGAAGAGAATTTTTTAAATTATTGTATCAAGATTACATAGAATATGAACAGTTGGATTTTAAAGGATTCATTAATTAAAATTTAATTAATGAATCCTTTAAAATAAAAAAATAATGAATCTATATTAATTAATGAATCCTTTAAAAATGATTTACGTTATTCGTATGTAATTATATATTCTTTTATATATATATGTATATATATATACATATATAAAATTACAAATAAAGTAAATAATTTTTTAATAAATAATAAAGTAAAACTAGACAATTCGTAAATAATTTGTGGATAAATTATTTTTTACTGATGAGACCCTTCTTTCTTTTACATCAAATTTTCAAATTTTTATCACCGTATATACATATAAATAAAGCTGTGCTATCGATTACTTTCATTGCATGTTGGAGCGTCAGATCCCAAGCTGACGCAAAGAAAATTATCAATTTCATAAATTGCAAAATACTGTAGCGAAGAATTGCATGAGCTTCGCCTCAAGCAAATTAATCTTGCGTGCGCAATTTATAATCGATTTACTCATTAATCGAAAAAACTGCTTAATATAATGTGAAACAATATTTAAGGTTTGAAAACGTATAGACATAAAATGTTACAAAATTATCTCTTCTAAATTTTAAATAAAAGATGGATAGGTAACGAGAAAAAATATTTAACAAAAAATATAATTATATATATAAATAAATTATATTTGGAAATATAATTATATATTATATTTCAAATATATTTATATACGTATTCAATAGCTGATAGTATTTTATATTTTACTTTACATAATTCACACATAAATCTTATTTTTCGTAGATGTTCTTTTCAAACAAAAAATATTGAACTGTGTTTTATATTATATACCGAAGTACAATTATTATAAATGCAGTTGGCATGCGATTAACAAAGTTCTTGCAAAAAAAATGCAAATTTTAGCCATGTTATAAAAACACAATATCTGTTTTCTACAAAACTTCTTTTACTGTAATCAAGGATCGTCCATAACGCTTGAAGAATTTTCAGAGGTAGCTCAAGCATACTAAAATTTCTGCGTGTTAGAATGTTAAAAAAAAGTTCTAAAAAATATTCCCATATATAGTTTCTTGATTTATAAATATATTTTAATAATAAAATTTTTTTCGAAAATTCGTCGGAAATCAGAGATTAAAGTAATTCATCGATTTTTTTCAAAACTAAGTAATGTAAATTTTATAAATATCTTTAATTTTTCTTACAAAACGTTTAATAAAAATTAATCATACATTTGTACATACTTTTTAAATATATTTTATTTATATATTTATACGTATTTTTTATTTGATTAAATTTACTTAATTTTATATAAAATATAAAATGTCTCTTTAATCGTTTCAAAACTCTATCGTTTACGTCTACTTTCTTGCTACTAATATTATCAAAAAATACTGATATATCACTTCGAATGTCTTTAGGTGTCTGATAATGCGACTAATGAAAGTGTCGCGTTAATTACTTCTATATGTATATTATTCCCATATAATGATGTACGAAATCTGTGTCTCTACATAGCAAATCATAAATCATAGAGAAAGCTTTATGTTAAGATTACGTGATGGATCATCGTTTATAAAGCCGACAAACCGAAATTTGCCATCTAAGCATCTTATTGATGTCGTCGATATCGACTCATTTTATTATTAGTTTATGTCAAAAGCAACGTGAAGCTGAACGACCTACTGTATACCACCGTACGTATAAAGATTTCGAACGATTGTCGATCGATTTGCGTTATTTACGAGCGGCAAAGATTTGGACAATGACAAATATTGGGCGGATAGTTCGAACATTAAAAACGAGAAAGAGAAAGAAGAAAACTGAAATATCACTTCCAAATTGTTATTTATCCAGTAAACCTTATTTCTTCCTTCTACTGGTCGAATAATTCTTGCTCGAGTAAACACATTTATCTTCTTCTTTAAAAGAGACGTTAGAGGGGAAAGAAATGAATGATATTGAAATATTAACACAGAGGAAAAATATAAAGCTGGATCTCACATTCCCAACATGTTTTCCTGTGTATATTTTATATTTTTCAGTGTAACACTTGCACTCTTCTAAAAGATAAGTTTGCATCGACGCATGAAGCAAGAAGAATTCGATATAATACATCGACAAAGAGAATATCTGAATTTTCAGAGAAAGAAATTCGGAAAGAAAAATATAAACTCCGTCGTAAAGTCTACTTTTCTTTTAGATTGATTTCAATTCTGTCGTAATCTCAGAATGTAAACTTTAATAATTTAAATAATGAGAATCTTATTTGTAAGAACACAACCATTACGAACTAGAAATTAAATTTCTAATATACCGATCGAAGCTGGATCTTTAATGCTTAAATAATTCAATGTGAATTATATATATACTATATATGTACATGCACATATACCATATTTGTAGTCATTCGAACTGCGCGCCGAATTGGTTTTCCGGACTTATAGACGCAATTAAACTACTTCAATAATATTACAAATTAATTAAATCAACGAGCGATTTTTAATAATTTGATTCTCAAATAGGCATCATAGATAAATTAATAATTTATATCACAAGCTGTGAAATAAAGTCGGAGAAATAAAATTAAGTCTAATTCACTCCGGTAGAGTAGAATAATTTTGTATTCTGTTAAATTAGAATCGTCAAAGGACGCAACGCGAAAGTATATTATGTCGCTTCTGTCAGAAGAGATTTTGTTGTTGATGAGAGCTAATTCTAATATCAAAAACACACCAAGCAGGACAATGAGCTGTTTCAAATAATATTCACGTAGTCTAAATTGTAACTTTGAGCTAAATTTTACTAAATTACGTCAAAAGCTGTGGAATAATGAAGTGTACTCGTACCGCTGCGAAGGCAAGTCAAACGGTTCTGAGTTACTTGTATCAGGAAAAGATGTCGAGATTTTATATAATCAAAGAGATTATTTTTCGCTAAATCAAAAGTGCTCGATTAGATTTTTTAAACAAAACTGGAAGTTTTGAGCGTTTCCCCCTTTCAAAGTTATATATTTTCTCTTATCTTCCTAAAAAATATATCACAAAATAAGGTGCAATTTAAAACACCATATTTTTTTCTTCATAAAATAATCATTTTTTAATAAATATCTCTTAAATAATTATTTTATTTAAATTTAAATCCACAAAGAAAATTACTTAAGAAGATGAGAATATTAATCAGTAAAGATTAAAATATATTTTTTAAAAGTATTGTTGAAAAAAAAAAACATTTATAGTAGATATCTAATATCTCTGATAATATTCTTGGGTATGTTAAAAGCCATTATTTTAGAGTGATATGATAGCTCGGCAAAAGTTGCGGGACGTAAACAAAGCGATTTGCTTAGGTGCAGCTTCTTCCTAACCGGTGTTTCGTGTCAATTTAATGTCATCGAATTAGCATAGTATTACCTACTTCATTTTGCTCGCGGCTGGATAATCAGGGATTTAAAACTGAGCGATATAAAAATTTTAAAAAAGGTTCGTCATGTGATTGTAATAATAAAACAAGGATCTATCGATCTAATTTAATAATTTTAAACTTATAAAAGATATTTTTCTGAATTCATAGAATTAAAATTCAATGGTCAAATCATACCGAATATATTAGAGACGCTTTCGTAAATTTTTTCTTTGAAGTTTTAAGGAGGTTGTAAGGGCATAAAACACATATATTAATATTTTCGCTTTAAACAAACTACATACATGTGAAAGTTGTGTTTATAACATTCTGGTTTTATTGAGCAACACATTTTTATAGGTTATTTATTTTATTTGTTATTAGTTTTATTGTTATAAACAAAAATTGTTAAAATAATAAGAAAAATCTACATGTTTTTATATAAATATATTAAGTAGTAAACATGACTTATGCAAAGTTCCATTGAGATTCACCATTAGTAACAAATAACAAATTTTATTTATTTACTGAACAATTAATGTCTGCATCTCAAGATAACTTTATAAAAATATTGTTG